TCGTCTATCTATCCATCTATATCTATCTCTTCATTTATAGATAAAGATAAACTAATTTATCTATATCTATGTATATTCATTCATTTATTTAACTTCTGTCCGTCTCTCTATCTATCTATCTGTGTGTCTGTCTATTTATCTCTCTGTCTGTCTGTTTATCTATCTAACTATCTATCTAGGTTATCTGCCTATCTTTCTATTCATCTATCCATCCATGCATCCATACATCCATGCATTCATCTATCTACCTATCTATTTATTATTAATGCGTTGTTGTATTAACGCAACTCATTAATAATAATGTTTCGTCAGAATAAAACGACAAGCACAAAAACCGCCTCGACCACATTAGCTACATCGACGACTACGGTCGCAACTGTTGAAGCTGCTAGCAGTGGTAAGCAAACTAAGCAGATCGGCAGCAACGTCACTGTTACGTCATCATCATCTACGTCGTCATCAGCAGCAGCAGCAGCAACAACAGCAGCAGCTAACGTCAACAGCAAACATCGCGACTACTCACCAACTGGTGACCAGTTCTTAGACCCATTCAACCCATTGTTAAGTAAATTAAGCCTCGACAAACAACAACTGCAACAGTGTTGCTGCAACGATGTTGACGCAACAACATCATCATTATCATCACCCACAACGACAGCATTATCATCATCATCATCAATACCCGACGCTATTCTTCATTCATCCTTTCCGTTAAAACTTTCCTTCAATCCGTCAGCGGATCTCAGTAGTGATCTCAAGACTGGACATAGTAAAGATAGTAGTAATTGGGCTCCAGTTGATGGCAACTCTAGATTTTCTAATAATGACTCTGTCAGCCAATCAGCCAATGTGAGGATATTGACATTTATTTCTCTCTCTCTCTCTCTCTTTCTCTCTCTCTCTCTCTTCTCCCTCTCTCTTTTTCTTCAAATAATGATGCTGATGGTAATGAGGATGGCGATGAAGGTGATGACGACGAAGATGACGATGACGAAGATGATAATGATGACGAAGATGATGATGACGAAGATGATGATGATGAGGATGATTAACACAATTAGATCAACCATCACACATCAGCGTTCACTAGTACCTCACATACGGGCAATTATATAAATTACCTAAATCTTCTTACACACCTGTGGTTGATCCCTTTACAATTCACAAATGATACCAGTAGCATTATGATATCATAATAACACAAGGCATGTAACACATTACATTGTTATTTCAGTAGCTCAGATGGTAGAAATGCTCGCTATATCTATTTATTTATTTATAAAGTTATTAAGAGATGGGGTTTGACTGCGACTACATTTTTTTCTCATCTGAATGCATTTTATGTTACTTGATTGGAAAGTGTCTTTGTTCATGGGTTACTGTTTATTTAAGAATGTTTTAAAAGGATGGATGGATGGATGGATGGATGGATGGATGGATGGATGGATGGATGGACGAGTACTCGAATTAATGAACGAATAATTGAATGATTGATTGAAGTAAATGGATGAATGAATCAATTAATGATTGAATGAATGAATGAATTATAATTTATTAAATTGAAAGAAATAATTAAATAAATAAATATTTATATATGATCCTAGATAACATTAGATAATGACAACAAAGAAACAAAATTTTCCTCATCATCGCCACCATCATCATTACCGACATCATCATCGTCGTCGTCTTCTTGCATGCAACAGACTAGAATGTCTAAATCTTCTCAAGTTAGTTTTTTGGGTTTGTTTGGGTCGATCGGCTGATCGATTTATTGATTGATTGAATGAATGAATAAATGAATGAATAAATAAATAAATATATGAATGAATGAATGAACAAATGAGTGAATGAATGATTGATTGGTTCGTTCGTTACTTGATTGACTGGCTGGTTTGTTAAAGAGTTAAACACTCAAATAAAATCAATCGATCTACCAATTACCCAGCAAATCATTCAATTAACATTCATTCATTCACTTATTCATTCATTTATTCAATCAATAAATTAGAATCCAGTCTTCAATCAAAAGTTCAACTTCGAGGTCAAGCCAGGTCACAATTATCTTAACGTCTGCGTCTGGTGCCGTGAAGTTGAGAAGGTTGACAAGCAACCAAAAGTTATAAAAAGTGAAAAAGACGTCTTGCTAGGACACGTTAGTTTGTTCTTTCTTTCATTCTTTCATTTATTCGCTCATTCATTCATTCATTCAGGTCAGTATATCCTTAATGGACATAGCATTAGAATGCAGTACGACACTTCAAGGAGATTTCACAAGTTCATTCAATCTCACACCGTCTAAGGCTAAACTGGGCAATGGGTTGGTTGATTAATTGGTTTGTTGGTGGATTGATTGGCTGATTGACTGATTAATTGGTTGGTTGATTGATTTATTGACGGACTGACTAATTGAATTAGTTTTTCAATCACAATATCACCCAACCACTTACCTACCAACCAACCGACTGGCTCACCGTGCAGTCGAATCCAGTACAGCGAGCACGCCAGCCATTCAGGTTTCGAGGAAAAACTCTGCCATGGCGATGTCTTACTGCGATTCCAATACCACAGAAATAGCGGTAACAGCAGCAGTTGTAGCGACTACAACAACTACATCGACGAAAGCAAGCTACAGCATCAGCAAAATTTCATCAACAATGACGTCATCGTCAACAACGACGATGATGGTGGATTGCTGTTGGCTGGTGTTAGCGTTAAAGCTAACCAGCTGAATGAGTTAGTGTAGGATGTTTGTTTATTATTATTTATTATTGTAATTATTGTTATTGTTATTATTATTCCCCCAAAACAGAAAACCCAGCCAGACAACACATAGCTTCCAGCCGATGCAGTTCCAATCAGCTGTCTATTGTAAATTTTGCTCAAAGAAAGTTCGATGATGATTCAATGATATGTTTATTCAGCAAAGCTATGACGATGACGATGACGTGATGATGACGATGATGATGACGACTGTGATAGCATTAATGATGACGATAACGATGACGATGACGACGAGGTGATGATGATGAAATTTAAAATAGATTTGGTTCAAGTCGGCGTTCATGTGTAAACTCTGCAAGATGGTCTGCCACAAGAAGTGCATTGAGAAGTGCCAGCAGCAGACGCTCTGCATCAAACCCGCCAAGCGCGATGAGAGTGCCGACGGTCGGTTTATTATTATTATTCTTATTGTTTATTATTATTATTATTTGTTATTATTATTATTTATTATCGGTTTAATTTATTAATTAACTGAATGATTGTTAGGCGAGAGGAAGAGACACAAGTCGGCGCCAGACGATAATAAAGATGTCAAGGACGTTTCCGCCATTTCCAATGATGTCGATGTGGCTGGCGTGGCTAGGAAGTCGTCTATTACGTCACTCACCGATCTAACTACTGCTGCTGCTGCCGCTGCTGAAGTTTGTGTTGTTGTTGTCGTTGATGGTGCCTAATATTTTTTCATTTAAATTCTACTCAACTATTCCTTATAAAAAAGAAACAGTCCAAAGCAGCATCAACAACGAAATCAAATCGACGGCCGTTGAAAGAGAAGAGCATGGAAGATAATGCAGATGAGAGGATTGTTACGGCCGCCAAGCTGGTTGGCAAGCAGTTGTACGTAGATCTGGAGGCCGAAGCTAGGAAGGAGAAGTTTGATGAAGTGGTAAGTTGGTTGGTTGGGTGGTTTGTTGGTTGGCTGAATATATGGTTGATTGGCTTGTAGACTGGCTGGCTGGCTGGCTGGCTGGTTGACTGACCCCTTAGTTTAGCTTACGTAACTGCATACATTCTTTCATCATTATTAACATTTTCATTATTTTATCGATCACACACACGTTCAAAATGGTAAGAATCTTCAATCGAACATTATAAACACAGCAACATTACAAAAAAACTCACCCAACAAAAAACAAACAAACATACAAAGAAACAAAGAAACAAACATCTAAACAAACAAACAGATCCTGAACACCCAACGAGAAATCGAGCGCGAGAACAGAAACCAAGCAGAACTGATGTGTCTGGACAAAAAGTCGACCGACAAACGAGCAAAAAAACTCCTACAAGACAAACTACAGAACAGCGAAGAGAAGTTGAAATCTCTACGAGTCCTCATGCTCCAGTACTGTGCCGGCCTGCAGAGTTGCCTAGACGAAGAGGAAGCTCTCAAACAAAAAATGCTGAAAGAAAATATCGCTAAAAATAACGAAATCAATAACGAGAAAAAGATTGCAGTCGACTCAGCTACTGCTATGGCTACAGCGGTTTCCAGTGGCGATAGAGAAAAGATTGAAAACGAAAATGGAAGAATGATAATGGCGGAAAATCACGACCTCACGATTAGAAGAAGTGGTGACTTGGTTATTATCGGTGCCGACGACGACGAGGAAGTCGATCTGGCAGACGACGCGCTACTGCTTAGTGAGATGAATGGCGGGAGATTGAGAGATAGTGAGGAGGTGTTCAGTGAGAGGAACAGAGAGAGCATGACGGATGTTGAGGGGAAAAAAATTAATAATGACGTCATCGTACCATCAACAAACTCTCGCCAGATTAATGACGCCGGTGATGACGATGATGACAACGGTGGCTGCAACGACACTGACGACAACATGTACAAAACGCCGGAGCTCCTAATGGTACGCTCGTTCACGCATGATAATTTCTATTCGTCACAGCTCGAGGACGATGATGACGGTCTTGGTGGTGATAATAGCAAGTTACCGATATCATCGTCGTTGTTGAACATGCCACGATCATCATCGACGTCTAGCGGCCTGTTCAGTTGCGACTCTGGCCACCAGAACGCCGGCACGAACAACAACGGCGATTCGAAAAATGGTGATAACATGAATAATGGCTATAATAATAATAATGATGATGACGACGACGACGAGTGTAAGATCATTGAATCACTCAAGCAGGTCGTAGCCGTAGTCAGCGCTAGTCAAGATTCCATCAATCGAGACGGCAATGATGATGACGACATTAATGATGGTGACAATGATGGTGGTGATGATGGTTCTAGTGACGATGATGATGTCAGTGGTGCTGATGATGATGTAGCAAAGGCTCAAGTCATCCACCAGTCTTTATCACTGCCAGAGCATTTGAGTACGATGAGTGATAATAATGATAAAGCGGATCATTTTGACCCTAATAGTTATAATAACAATCGTCGTCGTCCTAATAATGACGACGGCGATATTAAATACACTGCTGCTACGGTTGCTGCTACTACCGCTGCTACTACCAGTAGCGCTACTGCAGCTGCTGTTACTACTACTGCTACTACCGGTGATAATGGTAGTAATGGCAATAATGATAACAATAATGATGAAACATCTAAAAATAAAAATCTGTGATTACCATTATTATCACTGTTATTATTATTACTATTATCACTGTTGTTATTATTATTATCATTGTAATTATTATTATTATTATGCTGATTAATTATTCCAGCTACTTAACGAGAATCCAATCAATCAACAAATTTGCAAACACTCGACAAGAAGGCCACCGAAATTGAAGATGGTGACGATGACGACGGCATGTAACCGTTCAGATAAGAATCTATGTAATATAAGTAGACCTATCGAGATTGATACAATTGTTTTTGTTTGTCTTATATGAATACTGGTATATATATACATGTATATATATATGTGTGTGTGTATGTTTGTTCGTGTGTGTGTGTGTAGTTTATCGTTAACTGAAACCAATTCGTTCACCTTTTTATTGTTGTCAATGAATGATGCGTTAAAAACATGCAGTGTGCTGGTTTTGTAGTCGTAACAACGACAATAATGATAAACAAATAAGTGATAATATTCCTTATTTATTTACATATTTATTTTGTTATTCTTATAAAATTTTATATGAGATTCTTCAAGTATGTTTTGCATGCAAGAAAAAAAACTTTGATTTATTTATAAAATACAAATGTATCTATTTTACTAACAAACACATTCATGTATATAGATAATAACGACACACCCACACACACACACACACAGATATATATATATATATATATGTTGGTAATAGACCATAATTTTTACAATATTCTATAAATTCTATCGAATGTTTGGCGTTAATATGTTTGTAGTTCGTTTTTTCGATTTTTCTCACTAAAGTTTTATGGTGAACGTTTAGTTTATTAAAATTCAAAATAAACTTATTTTTCGAATTCATGCTGCAAATAAGGCCATATTTCGATTCCGAATGAATCATCATCAGTGCTCCTTGCTGTATATATAGGGAAATATTGACTTTGTCAGGATGAACTTTGACGTTGTAAAGTTCATCTTGTGTGTGTGTGCGTGCACAAGTGCATGTGCGTGCTAAGTATGTATGTGCGTGCAACATATATAATCTAGATGTATTGATTTATATTTTCGTTCTCAATATTTTAGATGAAGCATATATTCACATACTCACTTATTTTATTTAATCACTAACAATATATATAATTGTTTGTTGACACAACATTTTGTACGTATTTAATTTTAATATACACATTTGTGTGTATGTGTGTGATGCAGTCTTTAATTGCCATTTCATAAAACTAACGTGTTCTTAACTTTAATTATAAATGCGTCACAGACATATGTAATGAAAATAATTTAATTTAATGTTGATAAAAGAAATTTTATTTTTCAGTGTTTTTTTTGTAGAAATAATAAATAACAAAAATTCAGAAAGCTGTAAATATTTAAGAAATCACCAACCTGTAACACGACTATACCAAAAAAAACAACAATTTGCAACTTTTAAACCATTATAAACCGCAAGACAGCAAGCAATTTCACAACCAAACAATTTTTTAAATAAAAATAACCAAAGACTTAATAATTTTCAAAATTATCTTTAGCTACGGTGGGTAGTATCTCAATGATGTCCGAAGTGGTAGTCGATCTACCGTGCTTGGCGAATGCCTGATAAGAGCTGAGTTTTGTTAAGTAGGAACCACCGTAAGACGCCAGCAGGGACGGTCCCAGCTGTTTGAGCAGGGGACTGAAAAGTGAATTTAAATAATAATTAAGAAACATTCTGCCTCAAATGTAAAACAGATAAAATTACATGTAAGAGTTTTTCTACTATAAGAGTAGAAATGTGGAATGAACGAAAGACTAAATACGAAAAAGATCACTTCAATTACTCATCATAAGTGCTGCTGTATGCCCAGTGCGAGAAGGTCCCTATCAGACCTGCAAGCACATCACCCTGGCCCCCACATCTTCTCGGATTTGATTGGCTAACTTCACTTATCACGACTGAGTAAAAAAAATGTTATGAAAAATAGGTTTCACGTACATACTCTCACATAAGTAGACTAAGACATTCACTCGCGCACGCACACACACACACACACACACACATATATACACACACACACATACCTACAGGTTCTAACCTTGCACACCATCAGTGATAATATCCTGATAGCCCTTCCGAACTATCGTTACATTTCCTAGTAGATTGCTTAACTTCTTCACCGACTCCACAGGTTCATGGGCATCAGCATCGTTTAGTGTCGTGTTGGTCTGGTAAATGGAAAAAAAAACCACAATAACATCAACAACAACAAAGAAACAACATCAAAACATCAACAACAACAAAGAAACAAAATCTAAACATCAACAAAGAAACAAAATCAAAACATCAACAACAACAACAAAGAAACATCAACAACAAACAGACAACATCAACAACACTACAACATCAACAACAAGCTATTAACCAACGAACCAGAGATTTATAGAGCCGAGAGAATTCAACGAGATTAGGAGTTAGGACTGCCTTCTTATAATCCCTCAACACTTCTGAGTCTTCGACAACTATCCATAAAGCATCCTAGAAAGGAGAAAAATTATAAATAACAACAAAAATAATAATAACAACAACAATAATAATATTAATAGCAATAACAACAATATATCAACTATCATAATATAAATAATTACAATACAATAAAACAATAATTATATCAACTATAATTGTTATTATCAATTACACTAAATACATCCGTCATTAATTAATCAATTAATTAATTAATTAATCATAAATTAATTAATTGTACTCAACTGCATCCATAATGAGCGGCAAATTTTTGGCCCTCACATAAGAAACTATTTCCTGAAAAAGCCAAAAAAAAATTTTTTTTCAATTAAAATGTTATTCAGAAAGAACTTTTATTTAACATTAAAACACACACTACACACACGCACACACACTCACACACGCACACACACTCACGCACGCACACGCACACACACACTAACACACAAAAAGAAACACACATACACACAGAAAATACAACACACCTTCACGTTCTTCAATATTTCTCTGTTAGTCCCCAGACCAGGCCCCACGACAACTGCATGCATTTTGTCCAACCATGGCTTTATTCTTTCCATTACGTTCGGGCTATCTCTGACATTATTTACAATAATAACAAAGAATTCTTGAGAAAAAAATAATACATAGAACAAATAGTAAGGATACGTTAAAAAAGTATTACAAAAATAGCAAGAAACGAAATTAAAACATAAAAGAACAAAAAACAAAAGAAACAAAACATGAAACAATGAAAACAATTGACACAAAACAATAAGACAAAGAACAAAGAACAAAAATCAAAGAAAAAACTACAGACATCATTGGGTGAACGATTAACTCGGGACTGTACGATTTGATGATAGGCGACGAGTCATTGGTGCAGAACACATGCACCAAATCCGCACCCTAAATATTATTGGTTCATTTTATTTTTCATTCAAATAGACGAATGAATGAATGAATGAATGAATGAATGAATGAATGAATGAATGAATGAAAGAATAAATAAATGAATGGATGGATGCATGTTTTGTATAACCAGATAGATAGATGAGCAGAATGAATATTCATTCAAATAGATGAATGAATGAATGAATAAATGAATGAATGAATGAGTGAATGAATGAATAAATGAATGAATGAATGAATGAACAAACAAGTAAATGAATGATTAAATTGAAAAATGAGTGATTCAACGACCGAAGGATGGATGAATGACTAAGTAAAGGAATGAATGGATAAATCAATGAAATCAAATCCTTGCAAACCAACCATTTTTAAAGCACTAATTGCAGCAAAGTATGGAGCCCCTGTATATCTTGAAAAAAAAATTTACCTGATTAATCAATTTTTAAAAAGTTAATTAATTGACTACCAAATTTAGGCATATTTTCTATAATTAAAATTATTTATGAAATAAATAGATAATTGAATGAAAGGATAGCTGGATAATTTGATTAGTAAATAAATGAATAATTGGATAATTAAATAAATAAATATTCACAGTGAATGAATGAGTGATGAGTGACTGATTAACAGAATGATTGACAGATTGAAAGAAATGGAATGAACACTAACTCTTTAGACCCCCCAATAACAGCTATCTTACCAGCTTGGCCCTTGTAGAGTTTATTGCAGAGTGGGGGTATGATGCTGTTGATTAGTGTCACTAACTGTTTTTCGTGTAATTTAGTACAAATCATTTTGCAGTTATTGTTGTTAGAGTTATCAGGATCTGTTAGATCAGGTATTGTTGATGTAGTTAAGCAGCTTTGGAAATCTTGGAAAAAATTTTTCAATTTTCATTTGACATTTATTTAATTTCATAATTGTCTAATTGATAAATTCAAAATAAGCAAATTCAATAAAAAAAATATAATTAAAATTTAAAACTTAAAATAAAAGCTACTTTTATTTTTTATTGTATTTTTTTATAACTACAATAATAATGCTATTTTCAAGTATATATCTTAACTTATTTATTTAGCTAGCAATAATATTTTACTAATAAGTAAATTCAATTAAAAAAGCAATTAATTGTTAATTTATTAATAATTAAAACTGAATCATATTAAATAATATTTTTATTTTTTAAAACGTTATCTAAAATGAAAATTAATTAAAATAAAAAAAAAAACCTGAAGTTAATACATCATCCTGGTTAACAGATAATAAATGAAACGATGTTATTAAAATGGAATAAATTAAAAAATGACATTTGATCATTAAACTAACCAACTTTTATTAATTTTGTGAAATTTATAAATAATTTATTTATGTTAACATAGATAACAACTTCCATAGCAACGAAACAAAACAGTATAGAACTCCAAAACGTTTTATTTTATAAAAAATTAATGAAAATTGTCAAATTCATGAGAAATATTAAACATGATTATATATAAAATATATTTATTTATATTAACGTTCAAAAATGTAAGATAACATAAGTCTGGCAAGCATGAAGTTATGTGATTTACTCTGTAGAACAAGCCGCAGAAAGATTGGATTCTTTAACGTTGCTTATAATGTCTCATCAAAACCAATGATTAAACGATTTATGAGTTTCTGGCTTCTATTGTTAAAATCTTGAGATTATGAAATCAACGAAAATTATGGCTCAACAAAATAAAGCATGCTTTAGATCGTGAGAATGGGGAGTAAGATAATTAAGAAATATGACCCATAGTCTAGACGGGACACACATACACAACAAAATATCCTAAGTTAGATAAGCAAGATCAAATTAGTCAGACGCAATATGGCATAAATCAATTACTTTTCAAGTTATCACATAAACGCAAGCTAAATTTAACGATCGAACTTTATCTTTAAAATGTTCAATCGTTCAGATATGATATGTCTAAATGGAGTATTAAGATTGAAAACAAAAATTTTTATTTCTTAACAAATGGATAGGTAATCGTTACAAATTGGCAAATCAGTAACGCCATGTTCCTTCAAGTTCAGAATTCGTTTTGCGGCTTGATTTCGAAGTTGCTTCCCTACTCGTATTGCCACTAACTAATGATTTGTAATAATTTCTGTTTTTGATCGGTTCCTCGTTTATTTTTCCGAATATTTCTTTCTGACGCTCTCTGCTGGCCGGCTTGTATTCCGAAAGGTTGTACATGGTTTCATACTCATCGATCACACCTTTCGTCTGAAAAATAACAAATAAAGAAAATTCATCCACAAAGTAATGAAGTTTCGTGAAAAAAAAATTTAACACGGAAAATAAATTAAATCCATTAAGATACATTGTCACATGCATTTGACATTCATTCAATTCAACGAAAACACCATTCCAAAGCAAAATGAACAACTCACCGTATATTTTCATCACATACTCACCCAGACATAGAATGTCCCAGCTCCAGGACTCACTGTCTGAACCTTGCTGATGTCAACATCTTCAAGAATTTGATTCGATCTGGAGACAATTTCAGGATGGACTTTGGCCACGTCGAAAAGGATGATTTTGCGGTTGAGTCCGTTTGATCCTTGCGGATTGCACAATCTCTGGCACTCTCTCCACGACTTTGTCGTTATTTTTTATCAAAATTTGATTGAATAAATTAGCTCGGGTTTTTATCGTTAACTACTGATTTAATAATCGGAGACTATTTTAATGAGTATTGATAAAAATTTTATAAAAAGCAATGCTTATTTTATAATGAATATCAAGTTTTTGCACTATTATATCATCTGAGGAATCGTATAACGAGCATACCACACAACGTATCGTTTGACAAACCATTATTAAGGCACATTATAGCATCATTTTGAAGATGCAGAACCGTAAAATTAAAAAAAAATAAAACAAACTCACATCAGTTGTTTCTTCATCCTCGCCTAGCAACAAAAACGTCGACTGCATAATTTTGTGGAAAGTAGGCGGTGGATTCATGTACCTTCTAATCTCAGTCATCGTTTTTTTGTCCATATTTAAAATATTTTTGTTCGTGTTGTTTCTCTCAAGAGATTCTAAGAGATAGCCCGCCTCCCTACATTCGTTCTGGAGATAACGCTGAAGACCTTGCGAATAAATACCATCCAGCTCTTTTCTGATGGCCGATGGGTTTTTCGTCAAACATGCTGATTCTAAACCTGTGGAATATTTGGGTATTTGGGTATGATGAATTATTTTTCGCATATACATACGTGTACTAAAATAGCACTATATGAATGAGCGTAGCTGAATAATAATAATAATAATAATAGAAATATAAATAGATTACGTTGTCTGGCGTCGAATGTGTAGAGTTTCATTGTAGCCGTCCTGACTTCTTTGTGATCTTTCAGACCGTTCTCATGGCAACTATCAATGGAGGCCTTCAATAACGTCTTGTCCCTATGTCGGATGCATTCACGTAATCTTTCCAACGCTAAGTTACTACTCAGCTCTTATTTGTAATTTTTTAAAAACATATTTTGAATAATGTTAATCTAATAATGATTATTTTATATAATTTTAAAAAGGATGCTTTTGTGTCATAAAATTAAAAAAAAATACTTAATACCCATTTTTTTGGAATTTTTGTCATAGCATGAGAGTTTTTTGTGATTTGCACAATACTAACTCGGATGGTAGAGTTTCCAATCTTCAGTTCCCTCAATTTGATATGTCCTAAAATGCTGTCAGGTAGTTAGTTAGAAACAAGAAAATATATCTAGACTTTTTATTTAAAATGAGTTTATTTTAATTTAAAAAATTAACCAAACCTTCTCTCTGCCATCTAGTTCGGAATCCGTGCCGCGAGATGACGGTTCGGGTGAGAAAATAATCTTTCCCTTGCTATTATTGCCGCTGCCTCCGTAATAAGTACTAGAAGGATGCTTTTGTATCGTAAAATTAAAGAGAAATACTTAATTTCAATTGTAATATATCATGAAGATATCGAAACCAATGTGACAGTTTGATATCATGAAGATATTGAAATAGATATCCCAATCTACCTCCTTGTTGCCCGAATGACCATTTGCATTTCTTTTCGTCATTTTTTCCGTTTTGTCCATTGATTTTTGTCCGACTGTTTCCAATTCTTTTTCTTTCTGCTGCAATTTTTCTTCTTCCTCTTCATAGTACTTCTTGTTCTTGTTGTAGTTGTCGCGGGCTTTTATGTATTTTTCCTCTTTGTCTTTGTTAGCTTTCTTCATCAATCTCTCTTCATTTTCTTTTTGCTCTTCCATTTCTTTCAAGAACTCTTCTGTCTTTTTCTTTTCCGTCGCCACGCTTTGCTTCATCTCGTCGAGTTCGCTATTTTTTACAACCTGTAAGTAATGTTATAACGTTTCGGCTGTACAATTTTTGAAAGGTTTGTAATAACATATAGAGTAACCAATTTTAAAATTAAAAAAGTTTAAAAGGAAAATTTGAAGATAAAGTTGAAAAAATGACCTTGTATGTAAGAACATTAACAGGTCCTTTGTTAGATGTCACAACTTTCAAATTCAACGTTTGCTCATTCGTCGGAACAATAATTTCTTTCTCCCAGATGTCGCCACCGTTGTTCACTTTATTCAACGGCTGCCTGTATGTTTTTCCTTCGATGATGGCTTCTTTTGCATCCGGCAGAGTAAACATGAAATTTATTTTTTCACCAGCCTTCAAGTTGTACGATTTCGGTTCGTCGATGAAATAGTTGCTCTGCCATGCGCTTGTTCTCTCGGGGTAGGGAACTGCTTTGAAGTTCGGTTCTATGACGTTGATGAGATATTGATAAGCAATTTCTTTGTTGTGCAACAAATTCAATTTGTAGAAACCAACTTTTAAGAAATTCAAATAACATTTCACATCTCTGCCAGATTGATGGAGATATGCGTAGTTCGAACAATCTTCTGATTCGCTGTCCAAGAAATAATGTTTCTCTAGGTGTGCAGACATTTGAGAGAGGGTTTCGTAAGATTTCATCGTGAGGATCATCTCTTTATCCACTTCTATCGGGTCAATTATTGATTCCTTGTGACTGACCGGCTGCAGAACAGGGCTTTTGGTCAGTTGACTCATATCTCCTGTTTGACCGTGGCAGTTTTCAATGTCGGGGTAGAATGATAAATCGGAACAACCCTGGCTGCTCTCAATCAAATAATTGCATTCATTCACATACTGCCTCTCGCCTGGTTTTTTGCAACTGATTTCATGGATGTACCTACCTTGCTGCGGACATTTTATATAAAAATGCACTTCGTCGTCCTTTCTGTAATGTCGCACGCAATTTTTCAAATTTTCCTTTTTATTCTGAACATTTATCAGTTTGGAGCTGAACAGCAACATTTGTGATTTAGTTAACTTAAAGCCATAATTTATTTTTCCGTTATCTGTTTTTAAGATTCCACCTTTCAAGTTGATAGGTACCATCCCTATACTCTGAGTATCACCATTTTCACCCCACTCCGACCTCGTGTTCTGAGGTAAGGGCTCAAATTTCAAATCGGGCTCCGAGCAAATGATTGCATATTCACAGACGACTTCAAAACCCTTGTTTTCCTCAATGTTTTTACCGTACAATTCAAATTTGTACTTACCAATGATTGGAAAATAAATTTTAATGTCCAGTTGGTTTTTTGTTATCTCCATGAGAACGTACTGATCGATGTTGACGCCGTTGATAATGTTCGCTTTGGGGTCGTAAGAAGATTTGTACAGGCCGTAACAAAACAGACTGTATATTTTTGAGGAGAGGCCGAATTTAAGGTGCACGTTTCCGTTGTCTGAGTGAATAATGCATTTGGGATAATTTACGGTTGTCATCTCCAGATCGAAGAAAGCATCCTTAAGAAGCGCCATCTGCCAGAATTCATCCTCTGTAACTGGTCTGGCTAGCAGTTGGTTGGCAGTTTCACACGCCAGGTGCGTGTAAACTATAGCCTCTGGATCAGTCAGAAAATAAAAATCATCGCAAATTTGACCGACTTCAATTTCGTCGGCGTTTAAACTCTGTTTGTTCCTCTTGTCATCGTGCAAAACACTATCCCAATCATCGTCGTCGACTCTGTTGATGACGTACTGTGAGCCCCAGTGCGGATCAACGATCCTCCAATCATTATCTACAAATATCAAGCAGTAATCATTTGTTCCTTCCACTTTCTCTCCAAGTTTGTAGCTGCTACCTTTCACTTTGCCTTTGACAATTTTACAAGGAATTCCGGCACATCTTTGAAAGTTTTAAAATTTTTAGGTTGACAATTTTTAAATATTCTGAATAAAAATCTAAAAACACGTTGAGGCAAAGACAAATGTAATTAATCATCTAACTTGCACATCTTAGAAAAAATTTCCGAGTATCCATTGCCCCACTGCTTGACGAGGATGTGTAGGATGCTGTAGAGAGGACTTTTCGACGGTGGAAGTCTATCCCCCACGTAATCCATGATCTGCTGCAACCTTTGAGAGGCTATCCACACGAATATCGCCCTCGCCTTTCCGACATCGTTTTTAGCGGTTTTCACCAAATAGGAAACTAATTTTTCGTAACTATCGGAGGCCATTTCAAAAGGTGTCTACAACAAATTTATAAAAATTTATGATGAATGGATCAATTTTAACAAAGATCATGTTCAGATACCAGTTTAGCTCTTCTGTCTAAATGAAAATAATCTTGGATGTTGAAAATTTGAGATTTTCTGCATCGTGGCGGGTACGGGTCCGGCGCTCCGTCAAAATTTACTTTCTTATTTTTTTCTTTATTAGTGTTGTCGTTCTTATCTTTAGAGTAGTAATATCTTTGGTATTCCATTTGCGCCTCGGCCAACATGTCAGGCGTTGGAAAATCCTTGTAGTTGTACTGTTTTAGAGGAATTTTAAAAAAATATTTGGAAATCTTTACCTCAGAGGTGTGTTTATTAAAAGGCAATTGAGTGCTCGATTGATTAGAGAAAAATGAATGCAGGAGTGTCATAACTTAAAAAATTCTGCTTTTTGAATCGGTTTGATTTAGTTAATTAGTTGAAATTTTTGAAAAATTTCAACATAAATTTTAAAAATAATCAATAAAATCAAACTTTAGAATTATGAGAGCTACCACAACCCATCTTGCTTCGCTTCTTTTCTTATCTTTCTTTAGGTATCAACTAACAAATTAGCAGGTGGAAGAAAAGATATCGTGTTACATTACATGCTGCTCTGAGAAACTATACAGGAAATATAACTAAGGATATATTTATAGTAACGCGCAAGTAATATAGCTAAAGTTTGGCTTTCTGGTTTCCCTAGTTACGAGGTTTGTATTTATAGACGTTGTTAATGATATTTTTATGAACCCATGCCAAGTTAGCTAGTTATTTATTTACCTGTATAATTAGGCTGAAATCCTCTCTAATTATATGATGTGGTAAGGATTGTTTATTCATCTTGTGTGTGTGTGTGTGGGATTTTATGTGTGTGTTGTGTGTGTGTGTGTGTGTTTGTGCCTCTTTTTATATCCATCATTCTTTCTTCCTCTCTCGATTTCCTGACCCTCTTTATGTGCGTGTTGTACACATATATTTGTGTGTATGACTGTGTTTCTCTCATTCTCTCTTTATCTCTTCTTCTTTCGCTCTTTCTTTCTTTCTATCTGTGCGTGTTTGTGTGTGTGTGTGTGTGTGGTGTGCCTGTGTGGCACAATGACCTTCAAGAGATTTTTTTTAATCAGATGTGATCGAATTTTTGCAAAATGCTAAATTATTTCATCATACGATCGATATCATTAGCATTTTTTTGGTCTAGCAACACACACGCACATACAGGCACGCATACACGCACATACAGGCACGCACACACACACACATACACGCACACACACACATATATATTCCATATATCAAAGTATGTTATGAGGTGTTAGGTGTTTCATAGAAAGAAAAAAATTCCATCCATCATAGGCCAGACTCTAGACATGACATGACATTTAGTGATTATAAATCACTTTTCGTCCACTTATTATTTATGTACAATTTATAAATATTTATAATAATTTTACTAGTACTACTGCTGCTTTTACTATCATTGCTACTGCTACTACTACGCCAACAACTACTACTTCTACTACTGTTGCTCAACAAAAATTATATTACTACTGCCATTATTACTGCTACCACTATTAATTCTGTTTCTGCTGTAATTATAACTACATTAATGCCATTACTTCTACTACTGCAAATACATTTACCACTACTGCAATTTCTACATCAGCAATCGAACCATGATGTATAATATGATAAATTTCTATATGTTCATTTTGGCTACTGTATATATTTCTTTAAAAAAAAAGACACGTAGATACAGTTTAGTGTGTTTTAGATACGAGCTAATCATTTCTCATTATACTTATAATGAAATTGAAACGATAATAAAAAATTAATTTGAGCTCGAATTCAAATTTTAAAAATTTTACACTCACACACACACAAACACACATACGTACATTTAATATATAAAAATTATACTTTGTTAAATGACAATAATAATAATAACAATAATAATTGATTATTATTATTTGTTATTAGTTTAATTATATATTGCGGTAATGTTACAGGAGTTGAATAAGCATCAATCTTCAAAAACGGCAAAACGATGAGACAATTTGTAAAAACAAAATAATAAAATAATAATAATAATAAGCAATAATAATAACAACAACAACAAATAATTAATGATAATAATAATAATAATTTAGTTCTACCGCTTTGTTGCCCTATATGATTTCAGTTGGGGGACTGAAGGTTTTAAAACGATGAAAAAGTATTAAAATTTTTGTGGCCCCTGGAATTTATTATTGTTACCTTATATAATTATTATTTTTATCTTATATTATTGCCATTATTATTATTATTACTATTATTATTGTCCCCAAGACAACTGACCAACTGACCTAAATAACACTGACCCGCTATAAACTTTAACGGAGGCTGACAGAGGAAGGTTGAAAAAACAAAAAAAATCAGAAGATAAAATCTAAAATTGTCTAAATTCCATTATCACTGTAAAAAAAGGTACGAAGAGTTAGATAAAAAAAGGGGCAAATGGTTTATCTAGTTTTGGTTTACAGGGCCAACAAAAGGGCAAATCAACCAAGAGTGAAAATGGAGCTGAGCCCTTATTTACCTATCATTTGGCCTCTTAAAGAGAAATTAGGAGAAATTTTCGTAAAAAATGTATTTTTATTAAGATAAAAACATCTCCATTATCCCATTTGTGGGTGATCTAGGTTTCGGTATTGTGTAGACTTGAAGCCAAAATAGGCGTTCGACTGCCCTTTTTTGCTTAAATGAGGGTAATTTTTCGGTGTAATAAAATACGTTCTATAAAACATTGATCATCGATATTGTAAACGTTAATTATTTAATTATAAAATAATAATAGTTATTATTATTATTATTATTATTTAAGTAATTAACATTATTAGCAGTTCATCAAACTCAAAACGACAAGACTAGAAAATAAAATCTGAGTATTAAAAAAACTTAAAATAGAAAAGAAAAACACGAGAATCATATCAATAGCCGAGACGAAAATATGAATAAAATAATTGAAATAATAATTAAAATAACTAATAAATTAATTAATATGATTTAATTCAAATTAATTAAAAAATTATATTTTCAGCGTAGCATTTCTGTAGTAGAGATGGATGGGCGTATGCGTGTGGTTGGTGAGACTGCCTGCTCTTGAAAAACGTTCACCACTCGAATCTGAATTCATGGGTTTTTAAATTTATTTTGTTTGCTATTTAATTCGTTTATAATATTCATCTTCTCTTAAAAATTTTTCAGAAACATCAACAGCTTCACTCGCGCAGCGCTTGTAAATGATTTTTGCACGACCTTACAATACAAGTGCAAAACTAAAAAAATATTAACACCAGAGGAAAAGGAACAAATGAAAGAAAATAACTACCTGATGCTGAAGCCTGTTAAGACCACGAATCCACAATATTTGCCCTCTCTTACCCATGTCATCCATGCCTTCCTCGTAAGCAGACTGTTCCAGAAGTTCGATTTCTTTGGGGGAGGCAGCACCCAGAGCCAACTTGCGGGGTAGTCGACGAGTGGGTATCGTTGTTATCAGCTGATCGCAAGAATTGATATTGTTATTTTATTTTTTATTTTATTAATCTTGTAAAATTGATCTAAAGTTATATGGTAAGTGTGTTTACAGGATGTTAGAGACAAGTTTTTTTTATTACACTTGAGGTGAAGACAATGAATTTCTGGTGTAAAAACTTAAAAATATAAAAATAAAAAATATAAATATAATATAAATATAAAAACAAAAGTATTTTTATTAACGAATTTCATTTTTCGTCAATTACAAACTTCCCCAAAAAAATTTTTATGTAAATTTATTTCCGAGTTATTAACTAACCTGTCCCCAGACTAGTTCTCCGATGCCCAGAAACAAGCACCACACCCACTGCTCCAAACTCAGACCAACAGTAGCGAAGGCATAACTTCCGAATTGCACTATGATCACCTGGAAGTCAGTTTTTTAATAAAAATTATTTTTTTTGTTTCTTTGGTCATTGTTTGTTTGTTCACGTTTTATTATGCTAAATTCTGTAACTTGTAGGTTAAATTTTAAAGTAATTCACTAAACTTTCACATTAGTCATTAAGTTTCAAATTAGTTAGATATCCCCCAAAACCGACCTGAGCTATAAAGGTACCAATCCAGATGCAAATGAAGACAGGGTTCCTATTGAGACCCTCAAAAACATTTCTCTGTCCGTGAATCTTCCTGGCGTTGATCTCATTAAACAACGTCATCATGACGAAAGCGTTGAATATGATGGTGAAGTGTTGCGTTGGCTTCGCATTTGGTGGCTGCCACTTCCCGTCGTCAATGTCGAACAGTATGTGGCCTGCGTTCGGTTTTCAGAATGTTTCGTTCTCAGATATTCTTTTTTAAAATTGCATTTAGATTGTTTTGTTTTTATATTTTGTCTTGTTGCCCGCATAAGCACAACTACACACGCACACGCCCACATAACTAAGAAACAAAAGTAGTAAATGCATACACAAAGAGATTTATCTGAAGTTTAAAAAGTATTTCGGTGCTTATAATGTTGAGAAAACCTGATGACACCCTAAATATTTAAATTGGATAAATTACTAACAAGTAGATAACTTGTTAAGCTGTTTTGCCAGCAAAGGTGAGTAAGCGTGCAGAAAATCCGCTGAATTGGACAACGTAAAGCCATCCATCGAAAAATCAATTACAAATAAACATACGAACGAACGAACGAACGAACAAACAAAATGTCAAGTTAATTTGAACGTAGAAGCAATGAACATCTAACCAGCAAACAAGAGCACGAAAATGACAGTCAGTTGATAAACGGCATGTCCAATGATGTTCTTCATCATCGTCCTCGATATCAGTGGCTTTGTCCTACCGTACGGTCTCCTGTTCAACATCTCCTCGTTCGGAAGTTCCGTAGCCAGAGCAAGGGAAGCTAGGGTGTCCATAATTAGATTGACCCACAACATTTGGATGGCTTTGAGGGGCGAGTCCTGGCCAAACGGATATTATAACGCTGATGAAATTTTCTATTATAATTAGCGCTATACAAATCTCAACAAACACAATAATAATAATAATATCATTTTGCACTTTGTCACAGATTTCGCAAGATGTTTGGTTTTAGTATAGCAGTAATTGTGGTGCGGTTGTAGTTTGGCGATGAATCACATTGTTTCGTGTCAAAAATTTATCAAAGTTCAATTGGATTTTTCAAATTTAATGAAGAAATTTCTTAAAAATTATTATAATTTTGATGAAAATCTTCGCCGAAACTGTCCAAAACATTGAACGAGCAACCGACAACATCAGCACAACAGCAGCAGCAACCTTGATGACGCAGGCGCCGAGAAACGCGGCGATGACGGCTACAACGTTGACAGTGAGTTGGAATTGCAGAAATTTCGCAATGCTGTCGTAAACGTTTCTACCCCACATGACAGCTTTCACAATCGATGTGAAGTTATCATCAGTTAGGATGATGTCAGACGCTTCTTTTGCCACATCTGTGCCGGCTATGCCCTGTAGAATATGGGAAAATTTTAAATGCCTTTTCTGAAATATGTAAATTATTGTCCGAAAACTGTTAAGAAGTGAATTGGATGAATTGTGCGTAGTTTTTGGTTGAATATGTTGGCACATTTTTTCCCGTAGATAAATTACCAAAATGGAATAATTACCATATATAAATTACCAAAAATAAATACAAATTACCATAGCAAATCCGACGTCTGCTTTTTTCAGGGCCGGCCCATCGTTGGTACCGTCTCCCGTAACTGCCACAACCTCACGATTGGGGTTCAACTTACTGTCGATGATTCCCTTCACTAGGGTGTACTTGTCTTGAGGGGAGGAACGGGCCAGTACCCGCAGTTTCGGCCAAATTTTATCGATTAGTTCTTGGCTTGGCTGTTGAGCGTATATTGGTTAGATAAATTTCTTAAACAACCAATCAAACAAACAACAAATCAATTATTTTAAGAGATGATTTGTTAAAATTATTAAGAGATTTTACAAGAATTACGAAAATTAAGTTGAATTATTTAAAAACCTTGTGTGGCTAATGCTATATATCAACATTAATCACATTTTCATGTAATAACACAAAAGAGAGAAAAAAACACCAAATACAAAACAACACTTCGCACACAACAACTGCAGTACCATCCCATCAATACAATACAACACGATACAAAACAATACACATCAGCGATTACAAAACACTAAAAGGCGCTTTACAAAACCACATCTCGATATCAAACCGACCGGATCATCCAAAGTCCGTCTAATCCGACTATTAAAATCCGGTCCTTCCATGATAATAAAATCATCCGACGGTTTGATTATCCCACATTTCGTCGCGATGGATCTAGCTGTGTTTATGTTGTCACCTGTTACCATGCGGACTGTGATTCCGGCTCGCTGGCACTTCTTTATTGCTTCTGGGACCTTTAGTTTCGGGTAGTTTTAGATTTTTTTGATTTAATTTTAAGTTTTTGATTTAAAAATTTTGATTTTAAGTTGTTGGTTTCACGAATATTTTTAAGCTCTGAAAATGTCTCTTGTTCATTGAGTTCGTCAAAGTTTTATCCCAATGAGAATAATGTTTTCGTAACGAGTTAACGTAATCTTATATAATTGAAATTTATTACATTGTTGTACAACAAATATCAAATGTATAAATAGCGTGAAACATGTCAACGCATACACATACACACAAACCAAGACACACACACGTACACAAAACACAGACATACATACATACATATACACTCAGACACACAACACACACGTACAAAGAACACAGACATACATGCACACAGACACATACAGACAAACACACACAGACAGACACCTCAGGTCTGACAGGATCTTCAATGCCGACGAACAAGAGGCAGGTGAGATTCGAAACGATATCCGTCTCGTTTTCCCAATCCGGTTCTTTCGATATCACTACGTCGTTTGGCTGGCCACTTCCTTGGTTGTCAAATTCCAAAAATTATTATTATTATTTTTTTTATTATTATTAACTTATTATTATTATTAACTTATTATTATAAATACTACTACTATTACTACTACTGTTGTTGTTATTACTATTAACTTATTACTGTTTATTATTATCATCGGTTATGGCGTAACTGAATAAGTTATATGATATTACGAAAAATAAATGAATAAATAACGTATAATAACGTATGGATGAATGAATGGATGGACGAGCAAATAGATGAATGAAGCAACAAACAAACAAACAAACAAACAAACAAACAAACAAACATAGAAAAAGACTACCGTAAACATAATTTTTGTAGGCCACCCCAATGGTACGAAGACCATCTGACGCCATGGGCTCTATGACCCTTTTAATGATATTTTCTTGATCTGATACCCCAAAAGGCCGCGGTTGACCCTGCCCATCTAAGATCCATGTGCATCTGTGTGTGTGTGTGTGTGTGTGTGTGTGTGTGTGTGTGTGTGTGTGTGTGAGTATTTATCGAATGTATGTGTTTGACCGTCTCTTTCTTTCTCTTTATTTCTGTCTCTCTTTTTGTGTGCGTATGTGTGTGTCTGTTACACTTTATCTTTCCTTCCCTCTTTTTCTTTTTTTCTCTCTTTCTCTCTTTTTCTCTCTCTTCTGGAAACTTTTATGCGTGGATGTGTAGTGTGTTTATTGTTAATAAAATTACCGTTGCAGTTATTGTTGTTAATATTATTGTTGTTATCATTGCCTTTATGGTTATTGTTGATAACGGTGACAATATACTGTTTATTGGTAGATTTCATTAAATTTTCAAGTGAAAATGATCGGCGAAACGTCAAAGTTTCAATTTCACCGTTTTGCATATAAGTTTGAAAGTATCGCCGATTTTATAGATTCATTATTAACTACCTCTCCATCATAAAACGAAATTAGATCTCTATTCATCCGTCTCTATCATAAAACGAAATTAAATAGAAACCCATCCATTTCTATCATAAAATGAAATCAGATCGATGTTTAACAATTCCTATTATAAAATGAAATTAGATAGATGTCAGTTACTTACTTCTTCATGACGATCTCAGAGGCACCCTTAGTGAAGAGTGTATACCCATTCTCTCTCGGTATAACGGTGCTCATTGATTTCCTGACAGAATTGAAGGTATAGACCTTGTGTATTTTCTCTTCAGGCATGTTCTCCCTGGCTGTTTCGTAGTTTTGTTCCAGGTCAACCAGGAAGCCCAACAGCGCACATTCCGTTTTGTTTCCGACTTGCTTCGGCAGCTCGTTTTTGTTCTCGGACGGCTGTGTTTGTGTTTGTGTGCGTGTGTCTGTGTTTATGTGTATGTGCGTGTGTCTGTGTTTATGTGTATGTGCGTGTATGTGTATGTAGTAGTATTAGTAGTAGTAACAGTAGTAGTATTAGTATTTTTATTTTTAGTAGTAGTAGTTGTAGTACTATCGAAGAAAATATAGAAAAATTGCGCTCTGATGTATTGATTTTAAATGTTTGCCTGGGTGTTTTTGCATGTGTGTCTGTGTAAGTATGTGCGTGTGTGTGCGTGTGTATGTGCGTATGTGTGTGATAGGCGGGAATCTGTTTGCGTTTGAACAAAGTCACTGTACCAGCAAAGCCATGTACCTCAACCATTAAACCATCTCGTCACTGGTCAATTTTACACTAACCATAATTCTCGATGTGTATCCGCTATTTATCGCTATGGATTCGATGATCAGTGGCTGGATGTTGGCCGAGAATTCTGTAAACTTCGGGATTTTTTTGTGGTGAACATCTGAGGAGGCATATTTTATATAATTAAAATTAATTATGAAATGTATGAATGAATGAATGAATGAATGAGTGAATGAGTGAGTGAGTGAATGAATGAATGAATGATTGAATGAATGAATAAAATGAAAATAAAAAAATGAATAAAATAAAATTTTGCTCGGATAGGAATTTTTAACAATTTAATTATTAACTGAATCAAATTAAAATTTAATTTAAGAACAATTTTTTGGAATTAGTTAATAAAGAAATAAATAAAATAAAATAATCGCGAGGACGTTTGCAACTGTTGACGCTATAGCTACGTCTGAATGAATGAGTATTCATATGTAATGCGTGTCTGTGCGTGTCTGTGCAAAGAATGCACACGTTTTTCTTTTTCCCACAACACTTTTTAGGTTTAAGGGGTATACCACGACGATATTCTGATTACCCGGACGCCTTTATAATATGAAATGTTATTTCATCAATTGGATCTACTATGTCTATAGTATCCCTAATTCTATTTATTTATATACTATGAGAAGCATTTGCTTCACAACGAATACTAGTAACATCCTCACACATATCCTCATCTATAGAGTGAGTGGACTACATTTCTCCACTACCTTTCCATAATCCAGATGAAACAGGAATTGTCACTACCCCATTAAGTGAAAGCAACGTCTGAATGAATGAGTATTCATATGTAATGCGTGTCTGTGCGTGTCTGTGCGTGTGTGTGTCTGTGTGGTGGTTTGTGTGTCTCTGTGGTGTATGGTTGTGTGTGTGCGTGTCTGTGCGTATGCGTTGCTGTGTGTTGTCAAAATTAATCAACTTTTTAAAGAAAAAAATTCACCTCCGATGTAGCTCTGAACGACCGTCATCCGGTTTGTGGTCAGTGTTCCAGTTTTGTCGGAGCAGATGGCAGTAGCGTTGCCCATGGTCTCACATGCGTCCAGGTGCCTCACCAAATTGTTGTCTAACATCATTTTCTGAATTCATTTTCAAGGGTTTAACTTCAAACAAAGGGATTTGATGAAAGAAATGTCTGATCTGACATGAATGAATGAACGAACGAATAAATGAATCAATGAATCAATAAATGAGTGAATGAATCAATGAATGAACAAACGATTAAGTGAACAAAAAAAAAACAAAAAACCAAAAAATCCACACCCAACCTTAACAGAATAAGCCAAAGCGAGCGTAACGGCCAAAGGCAGGCCTTCAGGGACTGCCACGACGAGAACGGTGACACCGATGATGAAAAATTTAACGTACTGTTGGAGGTAATCGTTACTCCAGGGTTTTTTTTGTACCACAAAAGTAGTAATTGAGAAGTTTAGGATGAGTATTATTACTGTTAGTAAGGCTACGATGGTTCCTGCGTGTGTGTAGTATATGCGATGTAAAACAATTTATTCATTCAGTCATTCAATCGTTTGTTCATTCATTCATTCATTCAATCGTTCGTTCATTCATTCATTCATTCACTCTTTCATTCATACACTCATACTTAATTCATTTATTTATTTTTCAGTGCCAATGAATCCTATTTAAATAGCCAGTTTTAAAGGTTTAGCTTGTTGAACAGATTTATCATTCATTCACTCCTCAATCAATCTATCTATTATCCATTTAATTTATCCATTTATCTATACATCCGTCTATCAATCCATTCATTCATTCATCCAGTAATTTTATCATTCGTTCATCACTTAGTACCAATGTATCCAATTTGAATGGCTAGCTTTGTGAGTTTGGCTTGCAGCACTGACTTCTCCTTCCTACCTCGAGACTGCTTGTCGGCTTGGTCGCTCTCCTCCTGGCCACATAATTATTTATATTTAATATATAATGATAATATTGTTGTTGTTGTTGTTTTAGTTGTTGTTTTATTTGTTGTTGCTTACATTGTTAAGTTTTATTTTATTTCATATTGCAGTTTACACTACCGATAGCATTTTGGTTAGTTGCCAATGAGCTAATTAGCTATATAAATTTTATTATCATCATCATTTCATTATTGTTAAAATAATAATAATAATAATAATAATAATAATAATAATAATAATAATAATAATGATAATAATAACAACAACAATAATAATAATAATAACAACAACAACAATAATAATAATAATAACAACAACAATAATAATAATAATAACAACAACAATAATAATAATAATAATAATAATAATGATAACAATAATAACAATAATGACCGTTTTCTTTTTATCTTGAGTAGAATCGATGAGAGCTATATCTTCGAGTTCAGCTAGCGGAGCGCCAGTTGCGCCTTTAGTCTTAGCTGTAGCTGAGTCAGTAGCGTCTTTAGTTGTTTCTAAAAGAATGTTTATTAATATTATTATTATTTTTATTATTATTATTATCCTTATCATCATCGTGCTTGCGTTGATGTGTTTCATGCTATGAGAAAAAGAACAGTAAACAGCAGAGATATGATCGTCACATTAAACCTATCTAGCATTGGTTCAACCAAAGTTGGAGTACAGTGTTTAGCTTTAGAATCCAGATATACTAGGAGACGTGCACAGGCCCATGAATATTCAAAGGATGGCAACGAGAATGTTGAAGGTGTGCCGTGTGAAGACAGATTAAAGGTTTGTGGATTGACGACATTAGAAAAAAGAAGAACAAAAAAAGACTCGATTCAAGCATACAAAATCATCACTATGAAGAAAAATTTGGAATCAGCAAAACTTTTGAGCTTAAGATGAACAGTAAAACAAGGGGGTATAAATATAAGATCTTTAAAAAAAGCCTGGGCTCGATAAAGCAAAAATTTTTCAGCTGCAGAGTTGTCAACGAGTGGAACAAACTGGGAGATGAAATAATATGCGCAGAAACAACTAATAACTTTAAAGCAAACTTAGCAAAAGTAGGATATTAAAAAAAAATCTCAAAAGTGGTTCTGTCACAGACTCAGTCTTCTTGGATCACTTTAAAAAATCTTTGTTAGGTTTTGTTATGTTATGCTATGTTATTTGTCTACATCTAGTAAAAAAAGGAAAGTATAATAATTATATAACTAATAATAACAATAATAAATAATAATAATATAAAAATATAATTAATTAGAATAACAATAATAAAAATAATATTTTTTACCTTTAGCCTTTTCTTGTGTAGCTCCCAATAACGTGAATATGATCCCTGATTGTGAGTTCACGCCAACCGCTACGATCAACATTTTGCCGCTGCCTTCCATCACGTGCGTTCCTTGGCAATTCATAATTCATAATTCATTATTATAATTCACTTCACTATTATTATTATTATAACTAAATTCATTATTATTGTTGTTTATTAGTAATTCATATCGTGTATCTATCGGTGATGATCACCATTGTTTGTTTATGGCACTCTGGTGGTGTATTATTATGCTGTGAAATATTATCAAGTTAGTGAAGAATTTTTCGTAAATTTCGACTTAAATACAAAAAAAAAGAAAGAGAGAGAAAGTAAGAGTAAGAACAAATCAATAAATGAACATTTAAAAGACATTACACATTATATCAAAATGAATGTAAAATAATAATTAGAACAAATTAGGCTTCTTTTTACCGGAGAGTAACATTGGGTCGCCATTTTCGGACTTTTTTACGTGGTCGGATTCGCCGGTCAGCGAACTCTCGTCAATTTTCAGGTCATTACTTTGGATTATTATTCCGTCGGCAGGGAGTAGGTCACCTTACAGAAATAGAAAGAAGTATGTGTGAATGTTTTCAAGTTTGTAGATATTGAATTTGTTAATTTTCACACAAAAATTTAAATCTAACTCTAATCTACACTACACTTAACTTAGCAAGTGTCATCGCCAATAGGATCGGCCACAATTCTTTCTCTTTCTCTCTTTTGCTTTCACTCTCTTTTTCTCTTTCCGTCTGTCTTACTTGTTCTATCCCTTTTCAACATTCTTCCACTCATAACTCTTAATTTCAATTTAAATCTAAAAAAAAATGCAAGAATACCAAAAAACCAACTGACCATACTTGACCTGGCAGACGTCACCGACGACAAGATCAGCCACACCAATCTGCAGTACCTCGCCATTCCTGAGTGTCGAAAATTTGTGTTCATGTTCGATTTTGCTCTGCAGCCCTCTGAACTGCCTCTCCTTCTGCCAGTCGTTGAACGCGGTGACCAGCACGACCACCAGGACGGCCCCCAAGATCGCCACCCCTTCAATCCAACCGGCCGATGATTCCGTCTCGTCGGATCCTGAAGTTTGGAAGGGGAAGTTGGGAATGGAAAATGGGAAAATGAGATAAAAAAAAGAGATAAAGAAAACAAGAGAAAAAGAGAAAAGTGCGAAAGAGAAAAAGAAACAAAAGAAAAAAGACAGTGAGAGAGAATGAAAAGAGAGAAAATACAAAACGGAAAGAGAGGCAGAGAGCAAGAGATAACAAATAGATGGGGTTTTTATGATTTATAAACTATACACAATATTAATATTTTACGACGTTCTTATCAGGTCTTTGTAGTGTTGATGTTTGTTCAGTTAAAGGTTATTTATAATTTATGGTGCCATGTCAAATGAGTTAGACTGCTTGCAATATAGGGCTAGACATCATTTACAGATCAGTTTTAGCACATAAAAGTCTGTAAAACTATCTAACATTCAACTTCGCTTAAAAGTCAGCGTCTCAGTTTAAAATTGCGAAGACACTGCCTGAATTTGAACCAAGCAACTACGTAACTATGTAGCCCTCAGAAAATTGAGGCATGGCGCTCTTACTAGCTTTTAAACCAATCATTCAATCAATCAATCAATTAATTAATTAATTAACCAATGGAACGTGTTCATTGCATACATTTGAAAATATTTCAAATTTTAACATTTTTACATTGTTAGGCATCGTAATTTGATTTATTTATTTTTCAAACATTACTGAACACACTCACTAACAAATGAAGATACTGAATAAATAGCAACAATAAAGAATTGATTGAGAAGTTACAAGCTGCTTTAGCGACTCACCCAGATGATCCTCATCACTAAGTGGTGGGTGGTAGAAGGACAGCCCTAACGATATGATTGCAGCGATGATGAGGATGATGAGTGTGACGTCCTGAAGGGCCTCCCAAGCCAACCGCCAAAAAGATTTGGCTGGTTTTGGCGGAATGAAGTTTGAACCGTATACCGATATTCGGATTTTTTTATCCTCCTCTGAACCGCTCAACCCTGAAATTGTTTTCAAAAAATATTCATTTACAATGACGTCATTTATAGGAAGCCGTGGCAGTTGGTGTGAGATTTTTTTTCAAAGAATTGTCTGTTTAATGTTACAAAAATTGAGTTCCCTTTTGAAGTAATGAATAAAAAATGAAGAATTAATTAAGAGGCTACTACGTATGCTTAAATTCTTATTAAAACGCGATGCTAACTATCTAAACAATTTCGCTTGTTACCTTAACTTGCACAATTATATCTAAAATAATAAAATATATTAATGCAAAAAGACATAATTAAACTAAACAGCATTTCAAGTATTTAAAAAATGTTTTTTTTTTTAATTAAAACAACGTGAAATAATATACACTATTATATACCCTACAATCTACAAACATGTATAAAACACATAAACACACACACACGCATCCACACACCACATACACACACATCCACACACACACTCACACACACACACAACAAACACACATAACTATCCAAATTATCCAAACAAACCTTCAGTCGGCGAAGTTTTTAATTTTTTGCACAATTCCAGAGCACTTCCATACCTCTGTTGTAAGACTAGGTGCCCATTCTTACCCCTACATTGCATCAAATCTTGCAACTCCTTTATCGTACAGCCAAAGCCATATGTTTTCGGATCGGCCATCGTTGGCGAATAGTTGTACCTCCAATTTTTTTTTAAATTTGTTGATGAGAGAATGTTTCTTTTGTTGTTTTATTCTTCACTGGCTCATTGTTTCAAATGTTTAGTAAGGCGTGAAACTTCGCCAGAGAAAGAAAATTTCGAATGTTTTCCTACGTAGCAAAAAGTTTTGCTTTGAGATTTTTTTAACAATAATTAAATTGAATATATCCAATTTTTGTATTATCCATTTGAAATTTATAATCCAAAGAGCGAGGCAAGATTAGCTATATTAAAACTTCATTACCAATCAATATGTGTTTACAAAAAAACTTTGCAACACGAACTAGAAATTGAAATCGAGATAAATCACCTAAAAGACAAACGAAAAAACAAGCTAAACAAGACCAACAACTTATCAGTACAACAACACTAACCCGGTCAAAATTATTATCAACAGTAACCAACAAACTATGAATTCGACAGACCAAAACTAAAACAAAATCACCAGCAACCATCAAATCAACAACAATATCCAAACTAACAAACAAACAAATCAACCAACCAACATAAGAAAAATCTTACTTAAGCATCGGCTGTGCTGAAAACTACAGCTTATTCCAGTTCGTTAATGTTAAAATACTAATCATATTACGTTCCATACATATATACATACATACATATATACATACATACATACATACATACATACATACATACATACATACATACATACATACATACATACATACATACATACATACATACATACATACATACATACATACATACATTCATTCATTCATACATACATACATTCATACATACATTCATACATACATACATACATGCATACATACATACATACATACATACATACATACATACATACATACATACATACATACATACATACATACATACATACATACATACATACATACATACATACATTCACATTCGGATGCTCTTTACGTATGAGATACATCTGTACGAGTGTATATATTTATATTTTAAATGTTAAATGAAATTTATACAAAAAAATTTGTTTTGACTGCAAACAAACAGATCTGAGATTTCAAATTTCTGGTTAAAAGTTGAAATGAAAAATTTTTGAAATGATGAAAATTATACGAATGTCTGTCTGTCTGTCTGTATGTATGTACGTACGTACGTACGTATGTATGTATCT